GTGCAGAAGGAGAATGATCAGCCCAGCGTGGAGCAGGTTCCTTGGTTCAGGTAGGGCATACTAACTGGCACTCTTCCTGTCTGGGATACCACAGCACAGGAGGGTATATGGATCATAGCCGTGGACTGATGGATAAGGCAGGCTAGGCCCGGCTATGCTCATGGCAGTCACTGTCTGAGTGAGTTCTTGAAAATGCAGATTTAATTGTCTCACTCCATCATGTTCAGAACAGCAAGGCTCCCCATGGCTTCACAAGAGTATTTGTCAGCTCAGCTCAAAGCAGAAGGCTCCTCGGCGGTGAGCCTCGCCCACTTCTCTACCCAGCTTCTCAGCTAGGACCCAGCATGGACCCTTATCTCTGAACATTTATCATAATCAGATCTGTGTCCAAGGCTTAAGCTCAGTCTGTGTGCTGGTGACTCTCTATGCATGCTCCCACCTGGACAGTCTGAGCTCCTGCCTCTAACTGCCTTCTCAGAAGTGGGCTCTGTTTGTGGAGTGCTTTCCTATCATGTTTGAGGTCCTGGGTTCCACACCCCCAAATCACATAAACCAGGAAGGGTGGTACACACTTCTCATCCCAACAACTGGGAGGTGGAGGCGGGAGGATCAGAAGTCCAAGGTCATCCTTAGTTACCTCGAGAATTCAGGGCCAGCTTGGGCTATATGCCACCCTGTCTCAAAATAAAAATAGAATAAAATGTTTCTATTTGGATGTCTGAGAGAAGTCTCTAACTTAGTGTGTCAGAAACAGATGTTTTGATTCCCCCATCCCCCTACCTCCCCAACACTCACTCTTCCTGAAGTCTCCATTTTAGGGAAGAACAGCTCCATCGGTCCATTTTCCAGGATCTGAAGCCTTTCATCATTCTTGACTCCTATTAATTTTGGACCATATTTAACAGAACCTGTTCACCATGCCTTCAGAGCAGCTCTCAACTCAGAATGTCTCCATTCTGGTCCAACCTGCTTGGTCCCACCCTTACCTGGCCTGGGTTTTGTATTTGCTCTGCCTGTTTCTGCTTTGCCAGAGAGAGCACAGTCCTGCTAAAACATGCCACAGCCTGTCATTTCCAAGCCCCGGCCCCCTGTGGCTTCCCAATCTGTAGATTCCATGTCTTGGGTTGCTCGAAGAACTCAATGGCTTCATCCCCCACCCCTCTCCCCCTGCCTCTCCCTTTATGCTGTTCACTCCCACTCCTTCCCTCCCCCCTCCTCTGGCAGACTTGCTGTATCCCCATGATGTCAGGAAGACTTCCACCTTTAAGTCTTGTCTTCAATCTACCTGGAAGGTTCTTCCCCTAAACACCTGCCCCCCTTGTTCCTGAGAATGGTTCCTGACACCAAGTGGGTGTGCAGAGTTAATGAGCTGAATGAAGGAATTGTGGTGTGTGTGTGTGTGTGTGTGTGTGTGTGTGTGTGTGTTGTGGGTGCCTGTTTGTGTGTGTATGTACACATTTGTATGGGCACACATGTGTACATGCGTGTATTTGTGTGGAGGCTAGAGGTCAGCATCCGATGTCTCCATCACTTTCACTTCATTCTTTGAGACAGAATCTCTCATTGATTTGCTGGGCTAGCTGGCCAATGAATCAAGGAGTTCATCTGACTTCACCTACCTACAGTGCTGGGGTCACAGACTCAGTCTGCCCCTCCTCCCCACAGTTCTGGGGTCACAGACTTAGTCTGCCCCTCCTCCCCACAGTTCTGGGATCACAGACTCAGTCTGCCTCTCCTCCCCACAGTGCTGGGGTCATAGACTCAGTCTGTCCCTCCTCCCCACAGTGCTGGGGTTCACAGACTGTGTCTTCCCCACCTGACATTTATGTAGGTGCTCAGGATCCGCACTCAGGTCCTCATGCTTGCACGGTGGGAGAACCCACTGTGCCACTTCCCTGGCCCCCATGGGCCCCATTATTGAGATCATTTTGATTTGTTCAGAGTCAGCTTGCCCTCCCTTCTAAAGTGTGATTTAAATGTTTCTGTTCTCCACTTTTTGAAGAAGGGACTTCAGCTTATGTGCACACTCTAGTGCTTGGCAGGTTTCTTGGCATAAGGTGGACCTGCAGTAAGTAAATACTTCCCAACTGTGGCCTGTCACTTAATAGGTGGATCAGAATGTATAGTCACAGAAAGCCTGCCGTGAGAGAGGGAGAGCCGGGCTACTCTTTCCTGTGTGTACCCAGCAGGCTGCTGGGTATGTTCTCAGCAAAGCCCAGGAATAGGTCTGTGGCAGATTCACTCAGAATTTCCTGCTAGCAAGTTCTCAGATAATGTGGATTCTGGCCAGACACAGACACAGACACAGACACAGACACAGACACAGACACAGACACAGACACAGACACAGACACAGACAAAGACACAGACACAAGACACAGATACACACAGACACAGACACACACACAGACACACACACAGATACACACACACAGATACACACAGACACAGACACACACACAGACACACACACAGATACACACACACAGATACACACAGACACAGACACACACACAGACACACACACAGATACACACACACAGATACACACACACACACACACACACACACACACACACAGAGGTCCCATAGGAATCTCAGCTCTGTTTTGAGCCATCAATTGGGGATTGCATAGAAGGGTGGTGGGCCATTTGCTTTATTGAAGGGGTGGTAGGTCATTTGTTTTCTCTAACTCAGGAAGCTGTGTGGGGATTTAGGAGGGAGAGAAAAGGAGTGAGTATTCTTCTGGAGCCCTGGCCCCTCAGGGCCCCTTTCACTCAGTATGTCTGCCTGTGTAGGAGAAGGCAGGTGTGTGGAGGGAATAATTCCCCTCTGCCTCCAGGACCTAGCAGAAGTTCACTTGGTGCTGATGGAGAAGTAGTCTCCTCTTCTCTATTTGCTTCTGACCCAAACCCTTGAGATGTTCTGGAGAGTGATGTTCTGGAGAGTCTAGAGTGGTGGTGGTCATGTGATGGTGGTCATGTGACAGGATGCCCAGAGTCTTTGTTGGATGGGAGGTCATTGGTTGAATCAGTTTCTATTTCTTGTGGCATGTGCATTGTGTGTGTGTGTGTGTGTGTGTGTGTGTGTGTGTGTGTGTGTGTGTGGTTTGTACATGCTCCTGTGTGTATGTACATGTGCATGTGATTATGTGTGTGGAGGTCAGATGTTTACATCAGATATCTTCCTCAACTTCTTTTTACTTGGTTTTGTTTTTGTTTTAATGTTTAATTGTTTTACAGTCTATGTGCATGTGTGTGTGTCTCTGTATGTATATGCCACATGTGTGCAGGTGCCCACAGAGGCCAGGAGAGGGCATTGGATTCCCTGCATTGGAGCTGCAGTTGGCTCTGAACAGCTGGATGCAGAATTCTGGTACTCTGGAAGAGCAATAAGTGTTCCTCACTGTGGAGCCAGCTCTCCAGCCCCTGTACACATATTTTTGAACCATGAACTCTCAGTGAGCCCACTGATTCAGGTAGTTGGTTGGTTAATGCCCCAGGGATCACCCTGTCTTTTCTTTTGGGGGGGTGCTGGAGATTCAAACTCAGATCCTCATGCTTGTGCAGCAGACATTTTACCCACTGAACCTTGTACCCTGCCCCTCAGGCTCTATTTCTAGTAGAACTCAATGCTTTGCATGACCTTGAGCCAAGCCTCCTAACCCTGGTCTCTCTGACTTTGTCTCCTCGTGTTAATGAAACACACATCACCCTCCCCATTCATAAACTGCAGAAAAACAAACACCTGGAGGTGAGGAGCCCTCCAGGGGATTTGGGAGCTGATGTGCAGAACTGTGAGTGCCTGAGGAGAAAGCTGCTGTGTAAACACAATATATTATTAATACAATGTTAAAAAATAGCATTGCAGCCTGAGCTATTCATAGCTGCTTTGGGCTGCAGAAGCAGCAGGGCTCTGACACACAGGCCCTAACACAGTTTTGGGAAGCAGGGGCTATGAAATTTTTCAAGTCTGCAACACACTGAAACGAAGAGGAAAGTGAGATTTTAGTCAAAATTTGAGTACATTCTCGTGCACACTGGTAGTGTATACAGAAGGTAGGCTGCAGTTTGCAAGTCCAACTTTAACAGACTCGGTCGAAAACTTTGATTTTTTTCATTACACTTTAGAGCTGCTTTACAATGTCACTAGTTCGAGGGTTCAGGGATGAAGGTTAGGAGTCCCCACTCCCTTTCCTCAAACCCATTAGAAAGCAGACAATACTGCCTCGGACTCCATGGTGAGAAACTCTCAGGTAGGTAAACTAGTAATAGTTATTAGTTTGGTTATTTAACTAGTTAGTTGGTCGTACCTACTCAACAGATGCGTTGAGGACATCTTCTACATGCTACTGTAGACACTGGGAAATGGAAGACATAAATTATTATCTAAGGGACATATTTTCTGTCTGTTGCTCCCTCCCCTGTGTGTGTGTGTGTGTGTGTGTGTGTGTGTGTGTGTGTGTGTGTGTGTAGGCCAGGCAACCTCAGGCTTCCTCTTCTAGTGTCTTTCACTGAACCTAGAGCTCACTGGTTTGTTTATATTAACTTTTCAGCAAGTCCCTGGGATCCATTACAGATAAGGAATTGACAAGGTGCCAGAGAAATGATTCCATCTAATAGATTAGTGAACATTGAGTTTCGTGGGGGTTACTAACAGGAGCACAGGTTGACTAAAGGCAGCTGTATCATTGAAAAGCTCACCCTAGTCTGGGTGACAAGTCACAAAGACTGCATGCCAGGAGTTCCCTATACAACTTGAAGGCAGTTCCACTGAAGAAAGTCACTTCTTCTAAGCAACTGTTACTTTTCATGTAGCACTCGAGAAGTGACTTGTGAGTCTTGTAAATTCCAGGAGTTTCCTGAGTCCTGTGAGTTTTGTTGACTTCCTAAGACTTGTAAGTGTCCTTTACTTTCTGAGGATTTGAACCTCCCTTCTAGGTGAAATATATTAATATAGAGGAAATAACTACACAACTGTTCATGCTCTTTTTCTTACAGAGCCTGTGTCATCTTGGGGGTGATCTTTCTTCTGTCATCTATATGCATAGTGGTCAAAGCCATCCATGACCTTTCAACAAGGCTGCTCCCTGAAGTGGTAAGGTCCTTCTTTCCTAAGTTCTTTCCTGGAGTCTGTCTCTATTCTCACACAGGTCTGCCGAAGTGGGTGGGTAAGGGGAGGTCATTTAAGTGGCCAGAAGAACTCACTACAGGGATACAAACGACACAGTATAGTGATGTTCTGGGTCAGATGAGACTCCACATAGTTGAGCTGGTGCTGCCTTCTGTGTCCTGCTGGCCCTTTTGCCTACTTTTAAAGCAGGATGCCTTTCATTTCATAAAAAAGAATTATATCTGTGCAACTGTGATCCAGTCTGTTGTCTGAATTCATCTAATGATTGCTATAATAAGAAACATTTCTTTTTTCTTTTGCATCTCAATGTAGTATGTAAATCTATATTCTTAGGTTTCCCAGAATGACTGATGTCTAGATATATAAACTAGAAGACACAATTTCTGACAGAGATGTTTCTCACTGTTTTGTCCTCTGGCGATTACTTTAACTCTTCCCCTGTCCTCTCTGGATAATTTTGTAGCTTCCTATTGGGTAGCCTTAATAGAAGGCAACTGATTTGGTTACTAGGTGATGAAAATGCTGCCTTTATAAATTTTCACATTTGGGCTCATAACAATGTAACAAGAAACATTACTTTGTAGGATGTGTTTGGATTTCAGCTTGACCACAACACACCATTTTATATGGGTTAGAATGATTGTGTATTAATCTAATGGATGTCCTATTCCATCTGTGCTTATTTAATACTTGCATAACTTTGGGAATGCAACCTTGTGAATTTCAGGAGCTTCCTAAGACTTGTGAGGTTTGTTGACTTCCTATACCTTGTAAGTTTCTTTTACTTCCTGAGTCTTAAAGAGACTTGCTCCAGAAGGCAATATTTCAATTTGGATGAAATATCTATATACTGTCCAAGGTCTGTTTCTTATAGATCCTGTATCATCTTGAGGGTAATTCTCCTGCTCCCTCCCCCCAGTATGTTTATGAAGGAGACAGATACAGAGACAGAGAGAGATAAAGAGAGACAGAAACAGAGACAGACACACACAGAACAGAGTGACAGACAGACAGATAGACACACAGTTAATGAAAATTTAAAGGGATAGTCTACTACATCTAGTAGAGGCATCTGTGTGGCTGGCTGCTTGTGTTGTTTCTTGCCTCTCTTTAAGCAATCTCTTTCACAGTCCATCAGCCCTTTAACTGTTGTTTAATCACCAAGTGTGCCTGAAACTGGTCCCCTGATCTCTCAGAAAATAAGAGGAAGGAAAGGTGGAAAACAGGATGGGAAGCCACCTACTTAGGGCTTTCAGTCATTTTCAGGAATGGAGTTAGCTCAACAAAATACTAAGACCACGTCAATGCTTGGGCCTCTCCTCTCCTAAGCACTGAGTTATCTCCCATGATCTGTCCAGCTGCCGCAGGTTTTAGACCTGCCTATCCTCTTCCCCCATCAATCTTTATGTCATATGACCAATTCTGCTAGAATCTGCTTAACAGAGAAAGGCATCAAGTGTGATTGTGTACATTACACCTCAGATAGGTACCACCCTGCATTCTTCAGAGGATATGAAGACACCTAAGCTTGAAGAAATATTACTAGGTAGGATGTTTTAGCCCCATTCCATCTGACACATTCATTTATTAAGATATTAAAGATTAATTTCCAGCAGGCGTAATGTCATGGGATGGATGACTTTGCCCACAGGCCTCTGTAGAAGTGTTCCTTGTTTCTCTCTCAATAGCAGAAGCACTTTTAGCTGTGGGTAGTCACTCATCACCCCATGGTGCAGATGCTCTGAGGTGAGGTGAAGAAGTTCAAGGATTTCAATCCTGACTCACTCTATCGGTCTCTAATGATCTGGCCCACATCAGGTTTAAAGCATGAAGGGTCACATGGTTATACCCAAAACGGGCCCTTTCCTTGGACAACCCAAGGCTACTGCAATCTTTTATTAATTCTGGGATGAGACTGAAAAATTATAAATTATACCACTCTGGATATCCCTCATATGGCTGGTGTTATTTTTAAGCTTTTTAGCATCATTAAGAGGTAACAAAGAGTGTCTGAGCTGCAAAGCAAAGGCTGCTGTTTGCCCAAGTAGCACTCGGGGCCACTTAACACTACCAGGGCATAATAAATTATTTACTTTTAATGCATGTGGAGAGGGGGATGTGTGCGAGGATGTGGAAGTGTGTGGTGGTCTGAGGAAAACCTCCAGTGTTATCCTCAGGAATGCTGTCCCTGTTCTTTGGGGCAGGATCTCTTACTGTCCTACAGCTCACCAATTTGGTTAAAATGGTGACCACTGAACCCCAGGGATCCACCCGTCTCTGTTTCCCCAGGACTTCGATTACAAGTGTGTGCCACCAGGCCCAGCTTTTCATTGGGTTCTGGGGATTGAACTCAGGTCCCCATGCTTTCCAGGAAAGTACTTTCGTAGCTGAGCCATCTCCACAGCCCAGTTTCTTTCATAAATTAGTAACAAATTTCCTCATGTTGCACACACACACACACACACACACACAGAGAGAGAGAGAGAGAGAGAGAGAGAGAGAGAGAGAGAGAGAGACAGACAGACAGACAGTTTTGGTTGCTATCCCAATATGAGCTCCACTCCCCTGTCTTCTTGCATTCACAACCCATTTGTACCCTTTCACCCCTTCCATTTTCGTATCGTGAGTGTTCTCTTACTCCCCCCCAGCCTTCACCCTTAGTGCATCCTTCACTGGCCTCTCATGCTCACCTTTCTAGTTTTCTGGGAGCCACACACACTCACACCCACATAATATACATATACAAAAAGTAGAAGCCAGGCTCTGCCTATGAGAGAGAACATGAAGTGTTTGTCCTCAGTCTAGGTTACCTCACTTAATTTTTTTTCAGTTCCATCCGTCTTCCTGCAAATTTCATTTTTAATGGCTAAATAAAATTCCATCGTGTACATGGACAACATTTTCATTAGCTAGTCATCTGTTGACGGACATCTAGGCTGTTTTCATTTCCTGGCTGTTGTGAAAAGAGCAGCAATGAACATGGATGAGCCAGTGTCTCTGAGTAGGATGTAAAGTCCTTTGGGTACATGCCTCAGATGTTTCAGTCAAGTGTGCTGGTTCTTTTGTTCTGTGCCAAGAAAGTTTCTAGAAGCCAGCCAATAATAGTCAGGCTCCCAGTTCCTGCCTTGCTGTGACTCAGGATGAGTGCTGATACACGATGCTTCGTGTAAATTAGATCTGTCAACTCAAATGCCCAGAGAAATCAGATCTGGGCATAAAAGGTAGAAGTTGGCTAGGTTTATGGTACCCAAAGAGCATGTGCCTGGTTAAAAGTTCTAGCATCCTTCAAAGTTCCTGTGCTGGAGAAAAGAGTAGAAACCTCTGCTGACACAAAACTAGCAGGCCTAGGCAGACAGCTTGGTGGGTAAAGTGCTTGCGGGGCAAGCACAAGGACTGAGTTCAGTACTTAGGGTCACTGAAAAGCCAGATGCAGCTGTAAGGCCTGCTCGACACAGCATTGAGGACAGAAGACAGGAGCACCCCTGGGGCTCTCTGGATAGCTGCACTGGTGAGTTCTGGGTTCAGTGAGAGACCCTGACTAGACAAGATAAGGTGGAGAGTGAAAAGAAGATACCCAATGTCAGTCTCTGACACATCCACCTGTATGTGAGGAGTACCTGCACACAGACACATATGTATTATACACACAAGCTCACAGACACATGTGTGTAACACACACACCTGCACACAGACACATATGTATAACACACACACCTGCACACAGACACTTGTATAACACACACCTGCCCACAGACACATATGTGTAACACACACCTGCATATAGACACATATGTATAATACACACCTGCACACAGACACATGTATAACACATATACCTGCACACATACTTGCACAAAAGACATATTATACACACATGCACACAGACATGTATGTATAACACATACCTTCATATACACACCTACATTCAGACTCATATGTATAACACACCTGCACAAAACCCGTATGTGTAATACACACCTGCACACACACATACCCCCCCCCCCAAACACACACACAACACATACAGGAACTAATGAAATTGAAAGCCTGGTTTGAGTGACTGCATAATTTCACATAGGACAAAAGAAGTCTGAGCTGCTTCAGGAACTTTGCCATTTCTTGTAGGGTCTGAACCAAACCAGGGACAGTGCTCTTCAGGGCTTCAAGGTAATGGGTGTCCCTCCCGATCACACCTTAACCCCTCACCTCAGATCCAAGCTGCTTTCTCACAGCCCGTTTCTGCATGTACAGGAGCAACACCTGGGGGCTGTGTGTGGTTCCGTGGGTTATACTTGCCTAGTAAGTATGAAATCTGGGGTTTGAGCCCCAACACCATACAAATAGGTGCACACCTGTCACATAACCACGGCACTGGAGAGGTAGAGGTTGGAGGATCGGGAGTTCAGAGTTATCCTTGGCTACATGAGTTTAAGCCCAGACTGGGATACATAAGACTTTGCCTTGAAAATAAAAAAAAAAGCAAAAAGCAAAACCAGCTGCTTTGTTTCAATTCAGTTGTGCAATTCTCAGAGTGAAACTTGGTACAAGAATGGGGTCAGTGTGTGTGTGTGTGTGTGTGTGTGTGTGTGTGTGTTTGTGCATATGTGAGGGTATATATTGTCTGTGAGACTAGAGAAGGGCATTGTGTATCCTCTATTGCTCTCCACATTATCCCTTGAGACTGGGCCTGTCACTGAACCTGGAACTTGCTGTTTTTCATCTAGGCTGGTGGCTAGCAAGTCCTAGGGATCTTCTTGTCTCTGCCTCCCCTCCCCTCCCCTTCTCTCCCCTCCCCTCCTCCATCTTCCCTCTGCTCCCATAGAGTTCTCTGGTTCTAGGTTATAACTGGCTTTATACGTAGATTCTGTGATCTGAACTCAGGTCCCCATATCCACTGAGCCATCTCCCCAGCCCACAGCAGGTCAGTTTTCAACTAGAAATCTGTGTATCCAGGAGTGACCCAG